GCGGGGGGCACGGGGGCCAGCCCGGGGCCCGGGGGTGACCCTCACCTTCTGGTGCGCCGGGAGGCTGCAGCAGCGGCGCGGGACGAGCCGGGGCCAGGCGGGCGGCGGCAGCAGCGGGCGAGGCGCGGGGCCGCCCCAGACCGGGCCGTGCCGGGCCGGGCCGGCCCCGGCCCCGGCCCCGAGCGCTCGGCGGGGCCGCACCGGGCCGGGCGGCCGGGCCGCGCCCCGGGACACGCGTCGCGCCAACACCCGCCACATGCTGGGGCCGGGCTGCAGCGGGCTGGGCCGGGCGGACCGGGCCGGCGGCGCTCGGTGACCTCCGCGCGGGCGGCGAGCGCGACACTGGGGCGGCCGTAAAGCGGCGGAGGGCGGCGGCGAGCGCGCCTCAGGCACCGCCCCGGCACCGGCACCGCCTCAGGCACCGCCTCAGGCACCGCCCCGGCACCGCCTCAGGCACCGCCCCGCGCCCCGGCACCGCCCCGGCACCGGCACCGGCACCGCCCCGGCACCGCCCCGGCACCGGCCCGGCACCGGCCCGGCACCGCCCCGGCACCGGCCCGGCACCGGCACCGCCTCAGCCCGCCCGGCCCGGCGGGAGGGCAGCCGGCAGCGGGGCTCCGAGCGGGGGACCGGGCACCGGGGGGTTCTGAATGGAGAAACCGGGCATGAAAACCGGGCACCGGGGGGTTCTGAATGGAGAAACCGGGCATGGAAACCGGGCACCGAGGGGTTCTGAACGGGGAGACCGGGCACCGGGGGGTTCTGAATGGAGAAACCGGGCACCGGGGGGTTCTGAACGGGGAGACCGGGCACCGGGGGGTTCTGAATGGGGAAACCGGGCACCGGGGGGTTCTGAACGGGGAAACCGGCATGGAAACCGGGCACCGAGGGGTTCTGAATGGGGAAACCGGGCACCGGGGGGTTCTGAACGGGGAAACCAGCATGAAAACCGGGCACCGGGGGGTTCTGAATGGAGAAACCGGGCATGAAAACCGGGCACCGTGGCCTCCAAGCGGGGGGACCGGCGTGGAAACCGGGCAGCGGGGGCTGTGCATAGGGAAAACCAGCAGGAAAACCGGGCATCGGGGGGTTCTGAATGGAGAAACCGGGCATGAAAACCGGGCACCGGGGGCTGTGCACAGGACCGGGCACCTCGGGGTCTGCACAGCTTCCCACCAGGAAAACCGGGCACCGGGAGCAGTGCATAGGGAAAACCGGCAGGAAAACCGGGCACCGGGGGTCTGTACAGGGAAAACTGGCATGGAAACCAGGTACCTGGGTGTTTGCACAAGGAAAACCGGGCACCGGGGGTCTGTACAGGGAAAACTGGGCACCTTAGGCCTCTGCACAGCTCCCCGGCAGGAAAACCAGGAAAACTGGGCACCGGTGGGTTCTGCTCAGGGAAAACCGGGCACCTCAGGGCTCTGTGCAGGGAAAAGTGGCAGGAAAACTCGCTGGCAGGAAAAGCTGGGCACCTCGGGGTCTGCATGGGGAAAACTGGGCACCTGGGGGTCTTTACAAGGAAAACCGGGCACCTTAGAGCTCTGTGCAGGGAAACCGGGCATTTTAGGGATCTGCACAGGGAAAACCGGGCACCTGGGGCTCTGTACAAGGAAAACCGGGCACCTGGGGCTCTGTACAAGGAAAACCGGGCATCTCGGGTTCTGTACAAGGAGAACCGGGCATCTCGGGTTCTGTACAAGGAGAACCGGGCGCCTCTGGCTCTGTACAAGGAAAACCGGGCACCTGGGGCTCTGTACAAGGAGAACCGGGCACCTCGGGCTCTGTACAAGGAGAACCGGGCACCTGGGGCTCTGTACAAGGAAAACCGGGCACCTCGGGCTCTGCAGGCTCCCCAGCAGCAGGGGACAGCCGGGCTCAGCTCTGCTCCCCGGGAACGGGCAGAACACATAAATGCACCCAAGGGTGTCGGGGATAGCTCCAGGCTCCGCTCAGTGCGGCAGGAGGAGCAGCAAACACCATTAACTTAAACATAGCAGGTTCCACCTCAGCCTAAGCAAAAAGGTCTTTCTGCAGAGGGTGGCTTTGTTGTGAGATGTGCTCTCACTGCCATATCCCAGCATTGCTTACACCCGGTTGATTTCTGCCCACCTTTCCTCAGAGTTACTTTCCCTTTCCTATGTTTGTTGATCTTGTAGCAAAATCTCCGGAGTCAAGAGCTGAAACTCATTTAAAAGTGACACTCTTTGCTTTTATGGGGGAGAAACCTCCCAAAGCAAACTGCTGCTCTGGATAGCAGAGAAGGACATGAAGCTGGCCAACAACAGACCTGAAAAAAACTTCATCATTTGCTCCGTGAAACTCCAGCCTGGGTGCGTGGCTGTTGCTGAAATAAAACCTACGAGTAAAACTCAAAGAGTGAAACACTTGTGAGAAGTTTGCAATTGAAATACAATTGATCTCAGTATCATAAGCCCATGCCCTCTTCACTAGAAACCATGCAACAGAGAAACGAGGTCCAGGGGAGAAGGAATATCATTGTTTCTTTTCCAAAAGGGATGTATTTCCCCCCATTAATTAACCTGCTCATTGATTAACTTTCCTCCCGCTGTCTGAAAACAGAAAGTCACACAAATTGTCCAGAACAGGAGGCAGTTTGTGTTGTGCCAATGTGGCACAAAACCACGTAGGAACCCTGATATAAAACCCAGTATCGACCAGTTGGATTTCCATAGTAAGATAAAATTACAAGGCCAATGTTGTGTCAACAGAAGATGATACAAAACATCTCAGCATCCACCAGGAAAGGAGTAAAACACAGTATAATGCGTGCAGAAATATACAGAGAGCACTTGCACTAGTATAAAAATATCCACAGTCCTCAGACAAATGTGAATTGGTACAAAATAATTTCAAGAACAGGTTTACAAAAGGACACGTTGATATAAAACAGTAAAACCAGGTTGCCCCCTCTCCCAGCCTCATGCACAGCACACACACACAGTCCATGGAAGGCCCACAGGAAGGAGCAGAGCCCATTTGACCTCCCAAGCCCACCGGCGATGTAGAAAAACAAAACCACAAAAAAACCAAAGGGAAAAAATCCACCCTTGGGGGATTTTAGAGCAGTTCTTTCCCCAGCAGTTCTTTCCTGATCCTTCAGGACTAAGCTTAGCAAGGAACTGGTGTGGATAAGTGCTTGGTGGCCCTGGCAGTGGGGGGACAGCAGCAGAGGATGTCTGTGCACAGGAGGTGACAGCACAGAGGGCAGGAGCGCAGGGACAGAGGCTCAGCAAGGACAGGGGGTGTGAGGACCTCAGGAAGCAGCTGATTCCAGCTCCCCCACCCATGAAATCCTTCAGCAAACAAACAAGCACTGAGATCCCCCAGATCCCTTCAGTGACAGAGCCAGCCCTGAGGTCCTCGGGGATGGGAACAGCTTTGGAAAGCGGGGAAAGCGGGGCTGGGAAAGAGGAGCCTGAGTTTGGGAGAAAAGGAGCTTGGCCAGGTTGGTGAGCTGTGCTTCAGGTCATGCATCAGCCCTCCAGAGGACTCTCCCCCCACCCAGAACAGGTCCTGTCAGCCTGCAATGTCCAGAGTCACTCTGCTCCTGCAGGACAACTTCCAGCTGGTCCAACTTCAGCTCTCACAATTCAGCTCTACTCCATGCAGGCAAAGCTTCACATTTTCACCATCAGTGCAGTTTTGTGTGACACCAGCACAGGAGATGCCCAGCTGAGCCTGCAGCACAAAGTGCAGGGATGGAAGAGAAGGGGGCAAAGCATCCTTAAGGCCTCCAGGGTTTTGCTGGCAGGGCCAAGCCGGGTGTTTCTGCCCCACAGACCAGTCCCTGCAGCCCCAGGACAGCAGCTGCCCTCGGGCACGGGCAGTCAGGTGCCAGCTGTCCATGCACACAGCCTGCACCACCCCTGGCTGGCACAGAGGCTCTTTTTTGGCAGCTCGAATTGGTCTCTTCCCAGCACTTGGGCTCCTTGGTCACTCTCCGAGCTCTGCAGACAGTCACAGGTTTCCATAGAAACAGAGCTTGAGAGCTCCATTAATTCTCCCCGTGGTCTTCTTCCACCCAGGCCACGATTTTCCCCTCCCAGCCAGGAATGATGTCATCATCATGGAACACCTACCATAAAAATAAACAAACAAATAAATAAATAAAGTGTTTCGGTCATGTCTGGGGTCTGGACACAGGGTTCTGCAGTGTGAGTGGCATCAGGGCCATGAAGTCAAATCCTAGCTCCGATTTCCCAAAATAATCCAGGGAACACATGGGAATGATGGCTGAGGTACGAGACACATTTTCACAACTTAGGTAAATAACAGACCAGGCCTCACTAACCAATGAATATCAGGATTATTATCAGCTTGGTTTTTTTTTGACATTAAAGGTAAACTAAAGACTGCAATCACGCCTTTTCTGAGCCAGAGCACGACCTGCAGCTGCTGCTGCTGCCTGTCCCCAGAGAGGGTGACCTTTTGCCCTTGCCCTAATCAATTTGTGAAGCAAGAACTGTGCCAATAACCTGAGATGAATCCAATCCACACCCACACCAGCCTGAGCATGAGCAGGGCTGCACTGCAGCACACAAAAGGAATGATGCCACACTCAGCTCTCTCTGAAAAACCTTCAGAGGAGAGGAAGAGATTGCATTTTTAATACAGGCTCTCCCACTGCAGTAGGGTTTATAAAACCTGCAGCCTAGATTTTTGCTGTGTCCCCTGAGCTGTGTCACAGGCTGGCTTTGCCCAAGGGGCTCTGCAACTTCCACATCCGTGGAATTGCTTTTGCTGAGGATGAAAATATTTTAGCACGACAGGAGCTTAACCCACAGCTGGGAAAGCAGACAGTTTTGTTTGGGGGAAACATCTGCTATTTCATTAGTTTGAAAGCGAGGTGACCATGGCCCCCAGGGCTGTGTGGTGACACTGATCCCAAAGCTCAGCCCCACTTTTACCTCCTCCTTCACTGTGCCAAACTCTGGGTCCAGGGCTTTGAAGTGGTACCGATGGGTTCCTTCCCGATCGATGGCTGCCTTGAAATCCTTCAGAGTCACTTCCCCTAACCTGCAAGGGAAAGAAATTCAAACACAAAACACGACAACAAAGCTCAGGGACTACCGCAGATCATTTTCCCCATGAAATCCAGTTAAGGCACAGCAAACCTGTGCTGGCTGGGAGCATTCCCAGGAAATCAGAGTGCTGGTTTTAGGGGCACGGGAGGGTTAGGAAGGCCCAGGCTCACCTCTTTGGTATGCTGACCATGAAGGGGGTGAGGGAGCGGT